TTGTAACGAAAGGGACATGCGCGGACTCCTAGGTAAAACTTCTTAAACATGATTATTGAAAGTTATGGATATGTAATTAACTACATTATTTTAATTAAAAAAAAACCAATTCCAATTAAAAAGAACATCCCAGAACAACCACCACACGCCACCCAGAACCCACGAACCACCACCCACGCCACCCACAACTCACCGACAACCACCCACGAACTGACGGAATCCACCCAGAACCGACGAACCACCACCCACGCCACCCACAACTCAATGAAAGTCACCCACAAACCACTGAAATCCACCCAAGAATCATGGAAACCACACAATAACTATGAAAACCACCCTAGAACTACCAGATCTGAAACCCAAAACCTAAACCCATCCACGAAACTACCCCAACGAACCGCCCAAAACCACCACTACTGACACCAACCCACGAATCGAAACAACCATCCGCGAATAACACCCACCCACAAACCACAAAACAACCCCCAAACCATAAATTACCACCTAATCTACCAAACCCACCCACAAACCATTAACATCCACCACGATCTGAGAAGAAATTACGATACAGAAGAAGATGAAGAGGGAAGAAGATAAGAGATGAAGAGGGAAGAAGATGACAGATGAGAGAAGATGATGATGGTGAACTAAAAAATGAAGATCGAAAAAGATGAGAGATGATGAACTTAGAGATGAATATGGAGGAGAGAGATGGTGGGTAGATGAGATTAATCTGATTTTTTGAGGGGAAAAGTTAGATAATGAAAAGTTAGATTAGAGTTATAATTATTTGTAATTATGTGTAGTATTATGCGTTAATAATTTTTAAATGAGGGTATTCTGGTCATTTTACCAGAAAAAAGTTACTATATTAGGAAAAAAATAGATTTGTTGCAAATAATAAGTAGCACCCTATTTTGGTAAATGTTGTAAATAACCGTTAACAGAGGTAGTATACTACCTCCGGTCCACTTTAGTTGCAACTTTGGGGAGGTTTGCGGAGGTCGAGGCAAAATTTCCTAAACATGTTTATTGAAAGATAAGGGTATACAATTAAGTATTAATCAAGTAATGAAAAAAATCAAAATTCAACCCAATTTTAAAAAAGAAACCCACCACCACCAACCCAGCCACGACCACCAACCCAGCCACGGCCAACCCAGCCACAACCCCCAAACCACCGACCCCACAAACCCAACGACCCCCAACCCACCGATTCCAACAGCCACGACCACCAAACCACCGACCCCCAGCAACCCACCGACCAGAGAAACCCAACGACCCCCGAACCACCGACACCGAAACCACCAACACCGAAACACCAACCCCGAAACCCACCGATTTGAAACCCACCAACCCAACCCACCGATTGGAAACCCCAACCAACACTGCCGACACAACCAACCCCGAAACCATCAACCGCGAAACAACTAACACCAAAACGACCACATACTATCCCCCCAACCGCCGAAACAACCAGCACAGAAACCCACCGGCGAGCCGCAATAACCACCCACCTACCACCAAACCCACGAAGCCACACACCCACGAACACACAAACCTACAAATCTAGAAAAATAATAGGAATGGTTGAAGGAGGAGAGAGAAAAAAAATGGGGATGAGGAAGAAGATGTAGAAATTTGATGAACAATGGTGATGAGGAGGAAGATGAAAGAGGATGAAGGTGGCTGGAATTAGTTTTGGTGGCTAAGGGGTTGATTTTGGTGAAAATAGATAACTTAATTAATGTTAGGGTTTAAGCTAATTAGATAAAATCAGTTTTGTATTTAGGGTGTTTTAAAAAAAAGTAAGGGTAAATGGTAATTTTACCACTAAAAAGTTACTAAAAAAGGAAAGAAATGGGAAAGTTGCAAGTAAAGCGGACCGGCCCAAAAAGGAAATAGTTGCAAGTAAAGTGGATCGGAGGTAGTATAATAACTAATATATAAAGCTAAACTTTTAGCCAGAGGCAATGACAATTCGCGTTCCAACTTTTTGCCAAGTGTCGCGTCACGTTGGATAAATTTAAATAGACTTCATAAGATGAAATAGTTAGTTTAGAATTCTATTTGGATAGAATTTTAGGATAAAAGTGTTAGCTTAGAGTTTTTTTTTCGATAATATACCAATATTTCAAATGTACAAATTGAATTATATTTTTATTCAAAAAAGTTATTAGATTATAATTCTAAAAAATTATCATGTAAATTTATTTTTTATATCATAATATTTTTTGGGGCGAAGGAAGCAGTTCAAAGCGTAAAACATCCATTTGTAATATATACTAATCGATTAAAATAATATACTTCACAATATAATAGAATTTTATTACTATGTAGACATGTCAATTATGGTCGGGTGATGAGTCATCTCGGACTAGGTTATTTCAGGTTATTTAATTTTTTTTTTGCTAATATTTAAATATTTTTTTAAGATATTTTTTTAAACATTTCCACCAACATTATTATTAGTCATGCTTACTAGATAGCAAATCGTTACAAAATCACATCAATTCTTAACTAACTTTGCATCAATGATATATTTTAAAATTTGACACATAGATTAAAATTTTATCTTAAAATTCAATAAACAAACCGGACATCGCACGGGACACAAAACTAGTATATGTATATAGGGGAGATTTTCCCCAAGTTTTTAGAGAGTCACGTAAGATTTAATTTTCTTAGCGCGCCACGTAGGATTATAACATTTGGTTGTAGCCAATTAAATAAGAGATTATTATTTCTTTTACAATTAAATAATTCAAATGTCACACAAGCAAAATTGACGAATGAGGTTTTACCGTTTAAATTATTTAAATACAAAAAACATTATCTTTTGAGATTAGGAATTTTATCTAATATTTTAAATTAATATAATAATAATTTTAATCACATAAATATAAAAAAAAATAGTAGATGTTAATTTAAACTTAAAAATTTCATTCGTCAATTTTACCTATGTAGCATTTGAATTATTTAATTCTAAAAGAAATTAATAATCTCTTATTAAATTGGGTAAAACAAAAATTTATAATCCTATATGGCGCGTTAAGAAAATTAAATCCTACGTGGCTCTTCAAAAACTCGGAAAAAAACTCCCCTTTATATATATACTAGTTTTGTGCCCCTGCGATGTCCGGGTTGTTTATTGACATGTCTCCATTCTATTAGATTGTGAAGTATATAATTTTAATGGATTATTATATATTAGAAATGGATGTTTTACGCTTTGAACTACTTCCTTCGCTCCAAAAAAATATTACGATATAAAAAATAAATTTATATGATAATTTTTTAGAATTATAATCTAATTTTTTTTGAATAAAATTAGAATTCAATTTGTACATACTGGTATTTAATCGATAATAAAATTCTAAACTAACAATTTTTTCCTAAAATTCTATCCAAATAGAATTCTTAATCAACTTTTTTTATCCTATGACGTCTATTTAAATTTATCCAATAGGGCGCGACACTTGGCTAAAAATTGGAATGCCAAGTGTCGCAATCTCGTGACCTGGCTAAAAGTTTAGTTTTATATATTAGTTACTAGTTTTGTGCCCCGGTAATGCCCGGGTAGTTTATGGGCTTTTAAGATAAAATTATACTATTATAATTTAATTTGATTGAAAATAGAATTCTAAATTAACTTTTTTTTGCTACAAAGTCAATCTATATTTATCCAACGTGGTACGATACTTGGCGAAAAATTAAAACGCTAAATGATGTTGTCTTGTGGCCTAATTATAAATTTATTATTTGGTATTTTATCGAAGAAATAACTCTAAACTAATAATCTTATTCTAAAATGCTATCCTAATTTGATTGAAAATAGAATTCTTACCTAATTTTATTTATCTTATTAAATCTATCCAAGATGGCGCGACACTTGACGGTTTTTTATCATTTGAAGTCTATTTAAATCTATCAAAGGTGGCACTACACTTGGCGAAAAATTGAAATGCCAAGTGTCGCTATTTCGTGACCTGGCTAAAAGTTTAGCTTTATATATTAGTTATATGATATGATACTTCCTCCGTTCTATTAATATCGCAACAATGGACTTTTTGCATTATTCATCACTCTTGTTTGACCATATAATATGAGTTATACGTTAAACAAAATATAGTCAAGTGGGATCTTGTTGGATTCGTCTCATATAATACTTTCACAATATCAACTTTTAAGAATTTTTAATCTTACACAATTATAAATATTTAGCATATAAAATGTGTTTTGGGATGCGTAATTTCCTGCTTGTTGCAATATTAACAGAACGGAGGAAGTATGATATTAGTTTTTTAAAAAAATATTAACAAACCGTGCATCGCACGGGCTTCTTCTAGTAACGTTAAATTTGGACTAGCTAGTCTATAATTAATGTCAAAATACTCGGTATTTACTACTGAAATTATCTTTAATTGTAAGATCATACATATATAGATCCTACCCCTCATTATTTTTACAAGTAGGATTGCATGATCCTACCAAGTACCAACCAACCTTAAAATCCTACATATGATCTGGGTCGATCTCATGGTTTTGGATTATAGGATCATAGGATCGAATCAAGGTTTTACAATCAAAACTTTTATTTGGTTGATTTGCTCATTTAAAACTTCTAGATGAGCAAACAAGACAAGATACAACAATGATGCAATGTAATGTAATGCATTTGCCCTTTAAATTAGGGTCTTCAAAAACAATGATATTTGTGTCACACTTAAAATATTTAGTCATATTCTTTGAGAAAAAAAAATGTTTAGGCACATGATTGATCCCACACGCACCTTTCGAATTGTTTGAAGAGAATAAAATATAAACTATTTTATGTTGAAAAGCTTGTTACATTTTAATTATAGTACACCACTTTGGTTTCAACATTATACCGTTACTAAGATTGAGTGATTGAAAAAGTACGTGCTGACGTGCATGGTTCAAATTTAAATTAAATGGGCAATTAATCAATCAACAATCAACGAAGCTTACTTTGAACTGATTTTTATAATTATTTTAAGTGTAATAAGAATTCAAAGTATACTACTTTAAGGCAGCTAGTAAAAAGTTACAAGGGCTTAATTTAGAACAAGCATCAGTCTTCCCAATGCATAAAGAGTACTAAAGATTATATACATTCATCATCGAGGTGCAGGATATGTATGACTGAATGAAACTTCGTTTACTGATGTGAAGCCAGCAGATGATAATGATGACAGGCCGCTTGTTGCCTGATCTGTATCTGATGCATGGCTCCTCGATGCCAAATTTTTCTCCATGGTTGATACACTTGGCTCACCACTGACAATCTCCATAAGATATGCTGGTTCTGAAAGAGATGGGAGGCTTTGGGAACAACCTTCAAGCACTAAAACTACATCTTTCATGATAGGCCTGCACCCAACATTTTCTTGTACACACAGTAGTCCTATATGAATGCATCGTGTTATGTCATTGACTTGCCCATCTTCCCTCAGTAACATCGGGTCTATCAGTTCTAGAAGTTGCCCCTCCTTCCAGCATTTCCAAGCCTGCACAACGTGATTTTAAGAAAATTGTAATTGAAGATGAGCTAGTTATATTCTCATTTGTTATTGGTGTATACAGAGTTCTGTGTTCACCTTGCTTAATAGGTGCTCAAGCCGCCTTGGATTGTCAGATGCACTGTTTTTTCTCCCAGTAACAATCTCTAAGAGCAACACACCAAAGCTAAACACATCAACCTTTGTTGAAATCTTTCCATATTTTGCATACTCCGGAGGCATGTAACCACTGCAAAATATCAGCAATATCATGGTAAGAAAATTTCCTGAATACTTGCTGAGTGCCATATCTGTACCACAAGTTACTCTTCCGTTGTCAGTGGATTATAATTCAGAAACTCGACCTTTTTAGTCTATAGTCAGACTCAGCTGACTTCATGCCTATTTGCATTTACAGGATAGTGATACTACTCACTTTACTTACAATATACCAACAATTCTAGAAGCACTTCCATGGTCTTCAACAAAGTCTTGCTGTCCCAAAATCAGAAATTTTTGGATTCATGGACGCGTCTAGTAAAATATTACTAGCTTTAAGATCACGGTGAATAATCCTCAGCTGAGATTCTTCGTGCAGATAAAGCAGTCCACGTGTTATTCCTTCAATTATGTTGAACCGGATCTTCCAAGTTAAATTCTCCCTTCTATGTGGATCTACAACACACCCACAACAAAAATAAAATTGAGACAGAACTGTATCCTGTATTTAAGATTAAAGGATTGTAGAAAGGTTGAAATTTACGAAATAAAATATGATCAAGGCTTCCGCTGAGTGCTAGTTCATATATTAAAATCCGTTCTTTAACTCCTAAGCAAAATCCAATGAGCCTGACTAGATTTTTGTGATGAAGCCTAGCCACTAGCTGTACTTCATTTATGAATTCGGCTTCTCCATGTGCAGTACGACCAGTTAGCCTCTTAACCGCAACTAGCAGGCCACTTGGAAGCCTTCCCCTGTATGTACAACCACATACATAGCATACACTTTATTAAGATATAAAATCCTTTGAATTCTCAGGAAGCTAGATAAGCTGCCATACCCTGTAAACCACACCAAAACCACCTTGTCCAAGCTTGTTGGATTCAGAAAAGTCATTCGTCGCAGATCTTATTGTTTTGAAGCTAAACTCGAAGCACGACTCTATACTTCCAGCTCCAACAATGTCATCTGTTAGTGTATATACACTATTAATATCTAAGTTGAACAAAGTATATGTGAGCACCTGTCTTTAGATTGTTACATTAGTCTAACAATGGATGTGAGTACTGAGAGTCTATTGTCATTCATTCTTTTTTCTAAATCTATTTTTTCCTCTTTCTAACATACAAAAATAGCTCTAAAAAAAAGGCAGGACATACATAGAAGACAAGAACTAATTCCAAACGTTTCAATAAGCAAAATCTTTTCTGCTTCATATCTGATAACTTGTTATGTGTCTGAACTCTGAACTTCCTAATACTGTCAGCATGTACATACAATGCCCTCCTTTATTTTACTAATAAAACTTAAAATTATTCACTGCATCCCTAATTTATGTTGAGATGTAAACCTATTTTAAAAATCCGGAATCACATGTTAATGCTAATAATGCATTATTCCTCATAACAGTATAACTTGACAATTATCCTTAGGGAACTGAATTGAACAATAAAAGATTAAAAGTTTATCATTTGCAAAATTCTTAGCTGATGACCATATACACTAATGTGATAAAAGTAATATCCTAGATCAAAAACTTCAAACTTTGTCATAAGCAATATTCAATAATCAAGAAGTTCCCACTTATATTCACACCAAAATAATGAAAACAAACTCCATGTTCAATTCTTTCATTACTTGTTGAAATCCTATTTTAATTACTCGTAATTTTATTCTTACAGACTTTAAAAATTTATCGTAGGACAGAAAAAAAAATAATTAAATTAAATAAAGAGAGAGAAGAAGAAGAAATTTACTTACCTTTGTGGTCCCAGTGTTGCTTCCTTCTCTTCAAGATCATCCTAGTGCCAATTATGAGGACTAGTAGTGTCACAACACTGATTATAGGAAGGATAATAGTAAACACTGCTATTCTGTTGTTAGCTCTACTCTCTGCATAATCAAAGATATGGACATCAAATTTAATTTGGAAGTAACATCTTTTCATGATATGAAATAGATACATGAAGGGTAAACAAACTTTTTCTGGTGTTAGAAGAAGGAGAAACTGGTGGTGATGCAGCAACAGATTTGGTGGACTTGTAGAACGGATAGAGTTCAAAACGAAGAGCACAACCAGGTGTAAAAATACTTGCTCCGCTCTTTCCATTACAGTATTTATCACTTTGATTCGCGGCATAATTCAGGCAGGCAGTACAACCACTTGCAGATAAGCTAGGAAGACAATAGCCACCTGCATAGATTGTCTGACGATCACCAAATTTCGCTTCTTCAGTTGCAAAGTACTGAGGCTCGTTGTATCCGGAAGGGAAAGAGGATGAAGTTCCTTCAGCAGCAACTTTAAAAGCAAGTTTAGCTGTTACATTAGCTAATGTCCCACCAAACCGAGAGAGGTTAACAGCTGAGACACCGGTAGCATTGCAAGCATGTTCTGAAGGGTATGTGTCATCTTTTTGTGGCTTTAGGGTGGCTGGAGGGATGCATTGAACCATACAGTCGGCGTCTGCCCCCCAAGCAACAATCTGTTTTTGGACAGGACAATTTTGGCTGAGATCAGAAGCTGATTTGCTGATGCAGTCGTAACAGTCATCAGAAGATATCAGGTCTTTCCTACAAAGGCCTAGACAGTCAGGAACTGGTGTTGGAGGATACACTCCGGCAGTAAATCTGTAAAAACCACCCTGGTCTTTAACACCATCAGCAAGTGCCGAGAGTAGGCTATTCCGAGTTTGGATATACTGACTGTCACTGCTGAAGTTGCCGGTGGTGTAGCATCGGTAATAAGTATTACCTGCTGCTAACATTAGGCTATGATTCATGACAAAGTACAGAAACCAAAATTTCTCCATTTATGTCAGAGTCATTTGGTAAGAAGATCAGAAAATAGTTGTTTGAGTAGGAATTCTCAGAGTAAGAGGAAATTTGTAACAAGCTGCCTAATACTTTAATAGTTTAATGACTCGGTTGACTTGATAAGCATGTCAAGGGCAAGATATAAACGCAGTCCAATACCGACCTTATGAAACTTATGAAAATTATCCTAATACTTTAATCAGCTAATCTAATTAACATCCACGTAGTATACCAACAGTCCAATACCGACTTTATGTTTTTTGGTGTAGACTAGAGAGTCCAAGATTAATTTCGATTTCACTTATAGGATTATTTTCTTTCTCTAACTATAAAATCCAGAAATTTTGCGTAAACATTGTGTCATTTGGAGTATTTGATTTGGAGGTATTTGAAATATTACATTCGAAGGCCGTAACAGTAAAGACTTAAAAACTTATGCGAGACCGTTGAAATAAAGGAATTTTCATAAAATTTGTGGAAAAGTCATGTAATCAAACAGTACGGGCGTATAACTCCATTCTCCAAGTCCTTTTCTTTAATTTACTTTATCTGTTTGGTCAGATACGTAAAAAATAAAGTTGACCCAATAATCATCTTTGTCTTACTTCGATCTGATCTGATCTTTTTTCTTTGTTAGGGATGGAGTACTCTTTTACTTTCATACTACTATATGAAACTTTGAGCTTGTGTCCAAAAAAAAAAAAAAAAAAACTTTAAGCTAGAGTAAAAAGGATTGGAGGGAGTACTCTACATCCTTTTTTCTGAAATTTTTTCTATGAAGGCGGATGCACGATGCTCCGTGCATCCGTTTTCTCTTTAAAAATGCGGAATGAACATTTCGTTGTTCAGTAAAGAACATACATTTGTTTTGTAAAGAACATATATCTTTTTCATAAATAAAATCACATATAATTGTATTGTAATGAACATATAGTTGTATTATAAAGAACATATACCTATTTTGTAAAAAAAAAAAATCCAACTTCATGTTCTTTATATATATCTAAAGAACATCCGTAATATTAATTAAAATCATGATAATTAGAGGTGTTCAACTTCGGCCCAACCCAACCCGGCCCAGCCAGAAAATAGGGCGGGTTTAGACAAGCCTAAAAATGTATTTTTAGTTAAAAAAAATCCATTTTTAGTTAAAAAAATCCAAACTCGGCCCAAAAAAAGTCGAAAATCCAAATTAGAGTTATATTGTAATGAACATATAGTTGTTTGATAAAGAACATATACCTATTTTGTAAAAAAAATATCCAACTTCACGTTCTTTATATATATCTAAAGAACATCCGTAATATTAATTAAAAACATGATAATTAGAGGTGATCAACTTCGACCTGACCAGACCCGACCCGACCCGAAAATAGGGCGGGTTTAAACAAGCCTAAAAATGCATTTTTGGTTAAAAAAAATCCAAACTCGGCTCGAAAAAAACCGAAAAGCACACTACATTTTTCAAGTTTTTTGGACACAAGATATTATGTTATAGCCCAGCCCGACCCGAATTTTTTTATCACCTTTAATGATAATATAATGTAATGAACATTATTTTTTATTCAACCACCATAATTTAAAGACAAAATTCAAAGAACATTTCAAAATAAATAATTAACATAGGTCACAAATAAAATTATATTATTATGACAATCAAAGAACATGAAGATAAAGAACATTATTTAACTGCACGTTATGTTCTTTACAATTTTATAACATGTTCTTTGTACTTTAACGAAATGTTCTTTACATTTCTATACAATATTCTTTACAATTTTATAATATGTTCTTTTCACTTAAACTAAATGTTTTTTATATTTCTATGCTATGTTCTTTCCGCTTTTTTTTTTGGAAGAGATGCACCATGTGGATCGTGCATCCGCCTGCACGAACCATGCATTGCCTTTTTTCTATCTTATACAAACCTCAGTTACAACATTTCCCAATTTTTTTTTTATAACTAGTTGTGCCATCGCGCGCAATGTGCGTGATAGCCCAATTCACAAATATCGGATTGAGATAAATCGAAGGTTTCAATGGATGTGGCATAATGATCTGTTTTACTTGTTACTAAAAATGGGTGTGGTTGTTGCTATCTAAGATATCTATTTTGAATTGTGGGAAAATTTGGTAAGAACAAAAATATTAGAAGTAACACACAATGTAATAAGGGGGAATTCCAAGTTTACCTTCATGATTGACAAAGTTTGTCAATCATAGGGTATATATATGGTATTTCACCTTAGTTAGTTGAGGACGAAATTGTCAATTCCATCAGCTGACTAGATATAATTGCCTTGACTAAGCATCCACATGTGCAAGCCCTTGCCTTGTCGGACTTCAACGGCACATGCCCAAGCTTTGTTGGATTTCACAAATGCAATCAACCATGTTCTTCCGTTAGTTAAACAAACTCTTCATGAATACATGCAAATTTGTTTCAATGTAATTGCCCACAAATGGCAGAATATGATTGGGAAGAAGAAGGCATATTCCCTTTTGTATATTTACTTTCTTTATTTTGTATATATCAACATGCAAATTTGGATTGACTTTTAATAAATTGATTTTGAATATTATAGTAAATTAATATTGTAATTCGGTTGATTTGGGAAGAAGGAGGCATTTTTCCAAAGTATATTTACTATCTTTATTTGTATAAAACAACATGTAAATTAATATTTTAATATATAAATCAACATCTAAATTAATATTGTAGTTAAATTTGTAAGGTGTTATATTTATCTGATATTTTTTAAAAAAAATTGGTATTTTTATTATTTTCTAATGTTACGCTTTGATGTAATTGTAGATATGACGAAATTGAAAATGGAATTTTTTTTATTTTTTATTTTTGTTTTGAGTTGGTGAACATTTGGTAAGAGATAATTTAGCAAATAAAGCAGCCCAAAGAGATAATCTAGGCCAGGCTCACTAAAGACACCGATGTAAAATAGTTGTGTTGGCATTTAAAGGCCCAATGACACATTGTAGAATAGATGTGTTGGCATTTAAAGGCCCAATGACACATAGTGCATGTATTTTAAGGATTACATTATGTTTTGTTTGGGAAATAATTACTGTGTGTCGAATCAAATGGAAGTCAATTGCACTCAACAACTCAACCAAGGTAATTGAATCAATTAATATTATTATTACTCCCTCCTTTACATATTACTCGCAACAAAGAGGTATTATTTGTGAGACATAAAATATTCCTTTGTTGCGAGTAATATGTAACAAAGGGAGTATTAAAAATATTATTTCATTATTATTTTAATTATTATTATTAAAAAATAATAATTAGTGATTAGGGGATTTTTATCCACCAATCACCGTCTGACAAGTGGACCAACCAGGTTCCGCCACGGGTCCTTCACGAAGGCCAATAGGAGCCTGCCACGTGTCAATCACAGATACGTCCTCTACGGACCAATCAAAGCACGCCACGTGTCCACCCATGCCAAATGGGAAAACCGGCCATCAAGGCCCAATCCAGTCTAGAGGCCCGATCAGCCCTAGGTTTACCTGAAACCTAGAGAGTGGCACGCTTCTCAAGGCTATAAATACTTAATTAATCCTCATTAGTTAGGCAATCGAAAAATCAAGAGATCAAGCAGAGAAGAACAGAAATATTACGGAACACCAACAACCGGCTAATCTCGCTAACGACGCAGATTACCAACATTAAGCACTCTCACCTAGAGAGATCTTAGTACTTTAATTTCCGTATTAATAACTCCTTAATCAGGTACTAACTTGACCGTTGGAGGCGGAGCTCTCAGGAGTCTCCGTTATTTTGCAGGTACAGGCGTCCGGTTCCAGTCTCGGAATTGTAACTCTCCCGCAGGACATCAGAAAACCCCGAAACATTTGGCGCCGTCTGTGGGGAGAATACTTCAGAGATGGCATCCAAGTCTGTACCGACTCCTGAAGAGAGGCGTCTCCTAGACGATCCTCAAGTTCAGTCGGACCATGATACCGAAAGTGAATTTGAAGTTGAAACTCATATAGCTCCAGACGGGACCCTAAGGGCCAGACGTACCCGTCATACCGAAAGGAGGGAACGGGAGCATCTTCAAACAGGAAGCGAGCCAGCAGGCGCACCGCCTGCTCGGCAACAGCCGACTGATGGGTCTGCTCCCATCACAAGGAACGAACTCATGACCTTCATGAGGGACTTCAAGGGAGAGATTCAAGAGTTGATCAACAAAAAACCGCCTGCTTCAGTCAAAGAGCAGTCGGCCAAGAAACCTTCCACTTCACTGAAGAGGAAGCCAGTTCAAGGGCGAGAGGCGACTCCTCATCCTAAATCCAAGAAGCGGGAGCCACCTGCTCTTGATTTCACAAAACTCCGTTATCCTACGGGAAATAGGAAACCGGTTCGTCATATTCAGGCGGACGGGTCAAAGCAAACGTTCACAGATGCTCGGCTCCTGCTAGAGCAGAAGAAGAGTGACCGATTATCAGAGTCGGCTTCTACTTCAAATTTTCAAGAAAGTTTGCGAAATGCCTCGATGAGGCATACTCAGTCGTACCATGAGAGTCAGTCAGGCGGCACCTCCCGTCAGTCCGGCTTTCATAGTGCCCAGGTGGTACCAAACTTACCATTTGTGCCGCAACAACAGTATTTTATGCAGCCACCTCCATTTGGTGGACCTGCAGCAAAAAACGTCCAACCTATGGACTGGCAGCTACGGCTGCTTAGACTTGGTGAACAGCCGTCGGCCTTCTCCAAGGAAATTACTGAAGCCGCTCAGCCGGCCAAAGTAAAAAATGTTCTAGTAGGCGCCTATGACGGCACTACTAACCCAGAAGACCATCTGATGGCATTCACCAACCTGATGTACCTTCAAGGGTTGGATGATCCCACTTGGTGCAAGTGTTTCCCAGCGACTCTCAAGGGAATTGCACAGTAATGGTTCGGCAACCTGCCGACTGGTTGTGTAAACAGCTTCAGGACGCTTGCTTACTTATTTGCCTCCAACTTCGCTATGAACATCCCTGCGAAGAAAACGACCCTTGATTTGGGAACAATTCAGCAGGGCGAGAAGGAGGGGCTTCGTTCTAACATCAGGCGGTTCAACCTGATGAGAATACAGATTCAAGGGTTACCGGATGAGGTAGCTTATACTGACTTTTTTAGAGGTCTCAAAGACGGGTCTACCTTCAAATTTGATTTAGTTCGAAAAAGGGTGGCGACTCTTCAAGAGGCCTTGATTGAAGCAGAAGCCTATATACAGGCGACTGAT